GCTCATATTTGTGTTTGTTTACAAGGCTTTGCCTGATGTTAAGGTAAGAAATGACGAAGTTCTTTTATTTGTCTGTCTTCTTGAACCCAAGGACAAATTTTAGCAAAAATTCTCAGAAAGTCAATCCAAATTTAAAAATGGCTGCTACAACAGAGCACAAACAAATGACTTTAATTCAGTAATTTTTTTACAAATAATGAGTTAAAGTTTGGTATATTAGTAGCTGAATATTACCCCCAACTCATAATCAGAGCACCTTACATAACTCAGTCTTACAGATGTTGAACTGAAGCTATGGTAGCCGAGAGACATTCCCAACATATATTAACTAATAGACATAACATTTACTAGTTTGGACCAGAAAACTAACTTCCCATTCACATATTGATGGTCTTAGTTTGTCAGCAGGTGATGCGCTTTTCTATAAAGACCCATCTGAGTTTCTGACTCACCCAGATGTTAACATGGTCATGAATATGTTTGTGTGAAAGCCACTTGGCAGAAAATTTAGCTTGTTTTTGCAACTTTGAGTATCTTATTCATTTACTGAGTCGAAGAGTGTTTCATTGCAAACTGTTAAGATGATATTGACCAAATAAGTAGATCTGTTTGGCACAAAATGTAAAAAAAAATGTTTCTGGTAGATTATTATTTTATTGTAAATGCTTCTTGGCAATAAATCTTGTGACTGGCAGCACCTGTGGCACCAGAAACTCAGAACAAGTGTAATAACAACAGTAAAATACGCTGTTTGACAGAGAAGATTTGGCTCTTTTATTTGTGCGTCCCACAAATGCATGTTCCTTACAAATGTGGCACCATTTAAAGGGGAAATTAACAGGCTTTCCAACAGTATTTATTGCCAAACTAAAAGAAAGAAATAATCAAACACAAATGATAAATAATATACAGTAAGCTGTGAGAGTCTCTACCATAACAGAGGGGACAGATCTCTGCAGTGTGTGMCCCCCCAGCTCTAACTGCAGCCGTGAACGAGTCAGTGGGCCATCTCAGAGCGCTGCAGTGTCGCACGGCCTGCTCCACAGTAATAACCCTGGTGGTTATCGCGCCTCCCTTACAGCACTCCACTTCTGCTGAGTGTGCTCGTTTCTCCTCTCCCCCGCTCTCCCAACCCTCCGGCCCCTCCGCAGCTCCTCCCTTCCCTCCCTGCGCAGTGCCGCAGCTCGTCAGGGAGCTGCTCAGGCGTGGTATGAGCTGTCAGGAGCTGCTTGATGGTGATGCCCGCTCGGTCTCCCCAGAGAGTGATGCTATGGAGTCCATCAGCCATCTCTCCCTCCCATCCTCCCATCATCCCATCTCTTCTCTCTCTCTCTCAGTGCTCACAGGACTAGAGGCCACAGAGAGGCCTCTCCGACTGGATGAGTTAGTCTTTTCTCTGCAGCAGAGAAGGACAGGTCAGACTAACTGTGAGCTCAGACTTTACTGTTAAAAAAAACATCCTCGCAGAACACCTTAGACAAACAAACTGTATGTAACAGTACATTTCACTTCTTCAGGTCAAAGAAATCAAATAAAATCCACATCTTTTCACATTAAACGAAAAGTCCTGCTTCCCTTTAAAATACACAACATGACACACACTAGCCCTAAAAATAAAATGTTACAGTGAGATGATGCATTTCTTCAGGAAATATAAAAAAATATGTGCTTATGTCCCATTTCCTACTTTTTCAGTATGAGTACTTCAACGCTGTGCTGATCAATGAAGTGGACGAGGAAGGCAACAACGTGGAGCTGGGAGGCGAGTTCATCCTGGAGCCCAACGACCATTTCAACAACCTCTCAGTCAACCTGAGCCTCAGTGTGGTGCAGGTGCCCACCAACATGTACAACAAAGGTGAGAACTCCTGCAGCTGGCCCCCGGAGACGGACTGACGGGAGACTTATTGACCRGCAGGAGGTGGATAAACAAGCAGGAACGATGGAGAGGAGGAGGAGGGGGTAAAGTAAGTGGTGAAAGTGAAAAATGGTAGCTGGGGGCTGTCACAGACTGTGGGGAGTGAAGTTGGGAGATCGATAACAGTTTAGATGTAAAGGCAGACCTCTCTGTAAAGATGTTGTTCATATGGTAGCTGCTCAGTAGCTTCTTGTTGTCACATCGCCCGGGTGGGCTTTTGTTTGGCTGTAATGGACTCCCCATAACTCTCTGCTCACAACACAAAGGCAGGCTCGTCGAGCAGGAGGGGAAAAGGAGGGGGCTTAGTCACAGCCTTTTGTGTCTCCTTCAGAGGCACTCAATAAGGGACAAAGGTCAATCATGCAGTCAGTAATGGTGACCACCACACCATTATCACCATTTAATGCACTTGTGTGTCTCAGTGTGTCRCTGTGTGTCCTCACCCTCAGATCCCGACATCGTGAACGGGGTCTACTGGTCCGAGGCCTTGAACAAAGTCTTCGTGGAGAACTTTGAAAGAGATCCGACTCTTATCTGGCAGTACTTTGGAAGCGCCAAAGGTTTTTTCAGGCAGTATCCCGGTGAGTGCTGTCAGTTAGCTGTTTCAATGAAAGTTGTAAAAAACAAACAAACTGGACTTTTTTTAATTCCAGCAAACTGAGCTACAGAGTAGAAGTCCAGTTGGTTTGTTTCTTTAATACTTTTTTTGATTTGTCATGTCCTGGTGACTGAGTATCCAAACAGCCTCTCAGCTTGTATCCCTGTTTTGTGCAAAAATTGTCAGCGTATTTCTTTATTTTTTTTACCTTCRAATGAGACAAATATGTCAGAGACTTTTAAAACTGTCTTGATGAAAGTCCCCAACTGGTGTTTGTTCATTTTCAGACAATTTTTTTTTATTTTGCTGTTTAAGACGCTTAACACTGACTAATATCATAAAATCCTTCAGAAAGCCTGAAGAGGCACCAATCAGAGCTGCTTGTAAAGATTACAGGAAGTGCTGCTTTTTGGAAACTACATAGAAATTAGTTGTGGTTGAAAACTTGTGCACAACATTGTAATTGTTTGTGCTGATTTTTCTATTATAAACTGGTCACTGTTGTTTATGTTGAAGACTTTTCATCCTAAAACTGAGATTTTTCACACACAGTCAGTTTTATTAAAGTATTGATTTTGCTGAAAATCGTCACATTTTGTTTTATTCATCCAAGTAGCTTTGAAACACTAAACCAGAGAATAAAAGCAAGCATTAATTTGGGGAACAAAGAAAGTGCAAAAAACTATACATCCGCRTCCAAATTATTAGTTTACACCAACAGTTTCACAATTGACAAACTATTATTTCAGATATTTGATTGTGTGGAGACAAAGTTTTGTTTAAGATCCATTTTTCACTCATCGTGCAGAGAGGTAAACATATTCTTATAAATCTTGCTGTGTGGTTTAGAAACAGAGAAAAAGAAAGATTTGTGCCACTGGAGCAGTCAGCTTCCAAAAAACTGATCAGAACAAATGATTTGGAATTTCTAAAAGGGTAATTTGGTTAATGTTGTAATTTTACAGCCCATCAGAGAGAAAGCACACATACAGACTGRAATTAATCAGAATTTGTCCTTGTTGGTTCGCAGCCACAGTGAAGAATGACACGTTTTCTCCCACAGAAACATGAAACCAAACACTGGTTCACTTTGCTGCTGAAAAAAAAAAAACAGGTATTACTGTCAAACAAATATATTTATTTAATAATGGGTTTAAAAATAAATTTGAGAAAGTCATTTTTTATCTTAAAATTTGTGACGCTTTAAGGGTTTCTTTCTCTTCTGGGCAGATTTGTTTTTATGAAAGATAAAGCAAAGAATATTTTCCCTGTTTTAGTCAAATAATAAAAAAATAATTGTTTTTTGTATATTTTCATGCCAATAGATAAAAAAACATCAATACTTCTGTGTATTCCTTACTAACACAACTGACTGACAATGAGCTCTTCAATCATCCTGTATTTTTAACTCTTACTTGTAATTTAATTTGTTGATTCATCTCCTGCAGGTGGATTAACTGACTGACTCCAGATCACCCACAGTCACTGGGTTCATGATSAAGAGAAAATCTGACTCAGTGGTGTTTTTCTAAAAATATTTTAAACAAAAGTGAATCTTTATGACAGAAAAAGACAACACATTATTATATCTATTAAAGAATGTATTTAGATGCACTCATTGTTTACTTTGGGGTTAGTATTTCATCTCTGAATATTCACAGACAGTTTAAATATAAATGATCTTCAATAAACACGTAGTATACTTTATTATCATTACATCAATGGAGACTGTACTTTAACATGACAGTTTTTGTGAAGCTTTGAGTTCTCATTTCTTTTTTTATTAATAATTACTTTCAGCTGAAAGTAT